CTTATCATAATCTTTTACTTTGTATTATATTCATATTCATACTTTCACCTTTCACTTTAATAATTGTCCTAAGAAAAAAATCGTTTGCTACTATTGTTTTACAAAGAATTAGAATAGAGATTGATATCACAAACATCGTGCATGTATTATCAAATCATTGAAAAAGAAACAGAACTGAATTTTATAGCACAATTTCTTTGATTCACAGAAACTTGGTGTACCGTTGGAAGGAAAAGTTCGTGTTCAGTTAAATCTAAAGGTGGAACATCAACCGCACATCGGTGTCGTATCGAATTTCCCGGACATAGTATTTCCTATCATGTGGATTGAAGAGGGTGTCGAAGAACTGACCCCTTCTATCCGCAGATGGATCTATTTAGCAACAACGTTTAGCGATGTTGCTGCGCCTTGTACCTCGTATGGATTAATTCTAGTCGGTGTAGTAATCATATTCATCGTTTTTATGAAGGCTTACAACAACCCTATGTTCACGCACGAAGCGATCGAGTTAGGTAAACGAACTATAAGGAGAGGTTCGACGTTGTTAGTGAACGGACAGCACAAGTTATTAATTACACGAGAACAATACGTTTTGCTCAATAACGATAACGACGAGACACCAGAACGAATAGAAGTCTAGTTACAATTGTAATATGATTATTTTTTAATGGATAGTACTCGATTTACATTAAGTGAATAAGAATTGCGAAGAGCGACATATAACTCGCCTCGTACACCAAAGTTTCTAATTACCTGATGAATACGTTGATGTATAATCGATTACAATAGCATGCGTTTGGCAAACATTCAATAATTACCTGCATGTTTTCTTTTTTCTTTTTTTTTTTTGTTTCTTTGTTTGCATCTGTGATTTCATCTTTTTATCTATATCGTCGATGCACAAAACAGATCGTGCTTGGACGAACTAAAACGGGTAACGAAACGGTCAATGAAGAAAAGCTCAAGAAGTGCGTTCAACGAATTTTGTTTAATTACAATCTAGTGTGCGTTATAAATAAATTAATTTCTGCACAATCAAAATCGAGCAATATTGATACTATGAACGTTAATTGCTAATTGCGAGCAATTGCAAAACTCAGTGAAGACATTAGTTAGAAATATGACGTTTTTATTGTTTAGAATATAGTTGTTTCTAAGATCATGATAAGAGACGAAATTGTGAAGTTCGTTAAAATTTCTAATATTTCTACGATTAGATTTTCAAATGACTAAAGTAATGTCCGCAGTGAAAATCATATCTAATAATATTATCTATAAAACATTATATTTTACAACTGAGAACTAATAAAATTTATCTATTTGCATAAATAATACGATATAAAATTGATATGTCATTTAATCATTAAGTCTAAAAAATATATTTGAAAACATCTTAAATGACATCAAAATTTTTGTAATTGTTTGTAAAAGCACCTAATTTTGTGCTTTATTGTATTTTTAAGTTACTCCTTCAATGTGTAAATGAATTATTGTTATTAAAAATAAAATTTATTATAATTTTATATGCTATACTTATGTTTTACTGAAATATATAATGCCTGAAAGAATTCATTTTATACCTGAAAATACGAAGATTAATTTTAACGCATGAATCTTTTAAATAAAATTTTATTTCGTAGCATTGAAAAAAATAATTAACTTACCTACTTAGACAATTATTATTATTTACTCTAACTTAAATTTAAAAATACGTATTACAAAAAACAGATTGCGTTTAGAATATTACCGAGCGTGTAACAAATTGTAAACTAAACAATTCCTTTATAAAAAAAATTATGCTTTAAAATATGCTTAACATGAGCTGAAGTACGCATTTAGACATAGCACTATACAACAGTATCACATTTTAGATAAAGCCCAGTAGTTTAACGGAAAGATTATATTATGTTATATTTACATTTTCAATCGATCTTTGTTCAATAAATTTTTCACTATGCTATGAACTATACATTGCAAAATTATGAAGTTTAAATTATGCTAAAGTTTCTATAAGAATATAATAAAATACTAATAAAATCATTTAAAAATTATTGTACTAAATTAAATCAGTTGTAATAGAATTTTTATAACATTTAAATATCGTGTTAGTGTTATTTTTCATTAAAATTTTTCAAGTTAGGTAAGAATGTTAGTATGGAAACAATCTATATTTTTGAAAATTTTAATTTTGAAAATAATATATAAATACTTTTAAAAAGAAATTTAAAAAAAAATAAAATATTGTATTACAAGTTATCTGATGCATGTGAAATTTCTTCTAATTAGTTTTTTTATTTCTTGCTTTCGACTTATTTCGTGCTTTATAGCATTTATTATTTACATGCATAGATATGTTGCACACATCCTTAATAAACTATTGATTTCAATTTATTTAAGAAACATATATTGTTTCTACTGGACACATGAAATTTATGCCGTTTGAATGCACAGAATGATTACGTATGAACAAAGTATTAATCTTGCTGTTGAATAACTTATATGAAACAAAAATATTTTAATTAAGAATGAACTTGTAAATTACAAATAGTGTGATACACTTTTCTTTCATTTCTTTTAAGATTTTTTTTTAGGATTATGGATATTATATAAATTCATTTAATTTTTAAATTTAAAGTATTCAAGCCGACTTTAGCAATAACTTCTAGAGAAAATTATACCTTTATCTCAAGGGGCATGTCGCTAACAACGGAGGTATCAAAGAAGTAGGCTCTCTTAAATTAAGTTTATGTAATTCCTCATCCGCTTTGTTATGTTTCAACTCTTGCTGAGTGTACAAGAATTTATTCCATTCATCAATTCTTGGATGTGCTAAATGCTATTCAAAGAAACGTGGATATTTATCATATTCATTATTCGTCAAATATTATATCATAAGTCACAAATAAACAATATATTTGTTAAGTGATCTTACCTCAGCAACATCATACACCCAAATCTTTCCAGTATCATCACCAACAGTTACATGTAAACCGCTCGGTGTCCATGAAACTCTGTTCAATGCTGGATTACCATTGATTACAATACTAGCAGTAGGTACTTCAGTATCTTGATTAAGATTCCATAAATCTAATCGTCCTGAATCGTCTACGGCAGCAAATAGAGCCGGATGGGTCGGTGACCATGCGACGTCATAAACATAATCACCATTGTGCTCAAAAGAATAAAGAGGTTTATTCTCTTTAAGACTCCAGAGTTTAATTGTCCAATCGATGGACGATGTTAAGAATAGATGTGAGAAATCTATGCCACCTTGTACAGCATGTGCGCTAATTCCAGTAACTGGTCCTTGATGACCTTCGTAAAAATCTAATACTCCAGCTTTTGTACCATGACGACAAGCTATTAAATAAATATTTAATAAGATAATATAGTTAATAAAATAAAATAGAATATTATCAAAAACTACGCTTAATTTGATTTACCGGAATAAACAGTTCCTTCTTCGCTGCCTACAACAAAATTATTAACATCTCCATAAGGGAATGCTAAACAAGTGGCGGCAATAGCTTTCGATTGTTTAGTGTGAAGTTCTAATGTTTCTTGTGGTTGTGACAACATATCTAAACTCCAGGAGCACAATTTACCATCGGTTGATATACTTATCAAATTGTGTGCGTTTTGTGCCCCAACAACATTTAGACAGTACACAGGGTGCTGAAAATAAAAAAAAATATATATATATATATTGACTTTTAAAAATGGACCCTTATAATAAATTACGTTTATAGCATCACGAATAAAATTTCATTTTCTATTTTCTTTATTAAATAAATGCAATTAAATGTTTATTGTTATTCTATATTATATGAAACATGGAAAAGCTATTGTTTATAATAGTTACAAATAACATGCAGTTATTATAGAATGATTATATTAAAACGCAATTCGTATAGGTTGAACCCATGATAGTAAAATTTTATCAAGCCTTTCATCAAACAACTTACAGTATGTGCGGTTGCTGATAGTGGAGTACGTTGAATAGGGGTTCTCTTTTGTACTCTATTATCCCAGAGAACGATTTGTCCAGAATAAGTACCTCCCAAGATCAAATTAGGATGAAATCTCGCAAACGTGGTCGACATAACCGGCGACTGACAATGAAAAATAAATTCTGGAGTTGTTTTCTTGAATTTTGTGTTCCAAACCAAACACACCCCATCAGGATCATTTGGAGTGTCATCGTTATTGTTATAGGAGGCTGCAAGAAGTTCTGGAAATTGAGGCGACCAATCCATCGAGGTCACACAACGATTGCGAGACCACCGATCACAGAAGAACCACCGATTTAACCATAAACGTTGATGACTCTTTTCATCCCTACAAAATCAATGAATCATTTTATTAGACAATTTTTATTGTTTTAGGAAGAATCTCATAGAGTAACGAGAGTTAATATCTAATATTAAATAACATTCCATTTTACTTACATCCCATCTTCACCATCCATAGTACCGGTGTAATCACTATAAATATTGACAGATTCTCCTAATGCTCTTTCCACAATTCTACTGGTACGATCAAGGAATCGTTGAAAATCTTCCGACAGTATAATCATTTGTTTTTCTTCTTCGCTGAGTTCTTGTACTACAAATTAGTATTCTAATTAGTATTCTAACTATAAAAACTGTAATTCAGAATATATTTATAAATGTTAATCGAGCCTCCTATATTCAAATTAATCGAACTAATTAGAGTATATATATCCTCAAACAATTACTCTTTAGTCATTATGTTTTTATGAATACTTAATTAATGTATCTAAAGACATATTCTCGTCATTTGTTATGCAGTATGTAGCATGTAATACTATTTTTTAATAAGATCTTTTATCCTGTATTATAGTAAGTAAATTGTTTTAAAAATATAAAAAACCTATCTTACATAAAATAACATGTTTTATAATTATATTTATATATAAATATTTTATATTTATATATAAATATATATATAATATATATTATTTATATTATTATTATTTAATAATAATATTATTAAATA